ATATATATATATATATATATATATATATATATATATATATATATATATATATATATATATATATATATATATAAGATTTCTGCTAAAGCTTACGGGGTCCGATGACCCCTCACGGTAACACATAGGTCCGCCTCTGCTTGTAGTGTTTGGTTATGAAGCCTGGCAGTTAGTTACAGCTAATCCAATAATCAAATATGATTATTCTAATAGTCAAAAAGGCATCATATGAAGTAAGGTAAGAATGCTTATGTCCTTAAGCATGCTTAAGGAATGATTAATTAAATACTCACTTAGGGTGACATAAGAGAGCTGGATGAATTAAGCATTCATGATATATAAATTCATCCACTTCTGCACTCTGCATCTTCCCATCTATCACCAATACCTACATCCATGCATTATATTTTGTCAATAATAATACCAACATAAAGATATATTTAATATAGATCAACCTTTCTTTTCCATTAAAAAATTAGAAAGAATAAAAAATTTAAAATAACAATTAATTTTATCAACCTTCCCAAAATGCTTGGTGTCCAAAAGGGCGATATCTTGGTACTCGCTTGTTCCTTTGTGCAGCACACTAGAAAAACAAGAAAGTCAAATTTAATTAGTCTTTCAAATGCTATCCTGCTATCCAAATCTAACCCGAAAATTTAAATTACTGTAGTAAATAAATACAATCATGTTTGACATGTGTGAACATGCTTTAAATTATTTCTTTATGAGTGACGTGGAATATACAATTTTTTAAAAAGTAAATCATCTGACAAAATCTTTCAGGTAGATTACAGTGTTAATCTTTACGAGGACCTGAGAATTACACACGATGGCCATCTGCAAATTGGATACGAACATCATTACGAGAGATACACGTCAAATTAATCTTATCTTCTCATAATGACATTTGAAGGTAAAAAGTCATCAAAATCCATTGATGATTTAAAAAAAATATATCGTGATTCCAACAGATAATTCATAATTATTTTTTTCAAGCTGCTGACTCATTTTTTAAAGCATTTATATAGTTGGTTTTTAAGTAATCTAAGTATGTGAATTTTTTTTAGATTATCAATGAATATAAGAAAAAGGATGGGAAAAGAAAAAAAAATTAAAGGATCTACCCCCCCCCCCCCCATTTCCATGGTAGGCAAGTCATGTTGCTTGTATGACTCCTCGATCTGTACTAGAATCATTTCGAGGTTGAACTATATATGTTTCATGCATCATCTAGGAGCCCGTATGTATAGGAAAGAGAAGGTACCAAAAACAAAGTCATAATTAAAGAAATAATCTTATAAAACCTTTTAAGAATCTACAAAAAAGAAAAAACTAATTTGTTAACAGTGTTAAAAACGTAATTAAATAAATAATTACTCCTATGTGTAACATTTTAAGCTTTACGTTGTAACGTGACATCTAAACAAATAGAGGTACTTGACTCATAGAAAAGAATGAAGCCCGTACGTAAAAACAAAATAACAAAGGTTACATAGGAAAACTAACAAATTTAAAAGTTTTAAACGTATCTTTATATATATATATATATATATATATATATATATATATATAGACATCCCAATTAATATTTATTTAGGAAACAACCAGATTTTATGTAAAGTTTAGTTTCTATATATACACTGAACAATCTGAATGTAGATCGCTGATATGGGGTTTTATATATATATATATATACCTGTTCAAAGCAAAAGACCATTTGAGATCAACATCAATCTCTTCTTCAAACCAAGAACCATCATTAATGGGAAGATCATCACTCTCCTCCATAGTTATGCGTTTTGGTTCATAGCGAAAAGTATTATCACAAGCAAAAAACTCCAAAGCTTCACTTCCCATGGTTATCAAAAAAACTAGAAGAAATTTTCAACAAATTAAGAAGAAGAGAGATTGAGAAGATTAGATAAGAGCTAAGTAAAGAGACGTTGAGAAGAAGGATAAACGAGTTTTGTGTGAGAGTGGATAGAAGGTGTTTAACGTGACTACCCTTTTATAGTTAAAATCTGAGCAGACAAAGGTGTATTTTTATGAAAAAAATAAATGAATACAGAATCCCTCTTTTAAAAAGGATCTGGTTATATTTAATAGTTATTCCCTTTTTCAATATGGATATGAGCACAGTTAGGATAATTGACAACGGACCTAACTAGTAACAAGTAAACAAGGACTAATGGGTACATGCCACAAAAAAACAGTTTTCTGACTGACCCTTATTGATAAAGGATTGACTTGTTTTTATTATTGCAATCAGCATCTCTCACTTTAGGATCTCTGATTAGAGTTTTAATGGTACATTTTTCTTACTAGAAAAAAAAAATGCGAAATACGTAAGCATACCTCTGTAAAAAATTGGAAAAAAAGGGCAGCCCGGTTACGCAGGGTCTGAAGAAGAGCCGGACCACAAGTGACAAATAGAGATGATTGGAATATAGACCATGAAATAAGGAGAAAATTATTAAGCACAACATAACTAAAAATTAAAATACCCGTTCATATAGTAGATTATGCCTTGTTAGTGATCAGGGGCGGATTTAGGGGGACGGAAGGGGGTCCGGACCGAAAAATTACACTGTATATAAAAGGTAAAATATATTTTTTACTTCTAGATATTATGTTTTGAATCTCTTTGACACAATCCAAAAGCATAGCTTAGTGATCAAGGGGGTGCAAAACCTTTATATGGTCATTAGTTCTATTCCCACTTGCTGCAACCTTTTTAACTTTTTTCTTTTTTCTTTTTTGAACCACCTTGGCGGTAATCCTGATTGTGACTAACACAGTATGATCACATCTATAATAAATATATATATTAATGGCTGAAACTTTTTATCTTTCAAATCAAGAAAATGTGGGGGGAAAGGAAGGAGAAAACGAGACTCGAGATAGGATGATAAGTTTTACCAGCGATAACACATCTCATAAAGTTAAATTATTTTTAACTATTCGCAGTGGTTTGACCTGAAGGTATTTTAAGTGATTTGAAAGTACGATTGCAAGTTTTGATAATCTTTAAAATTTGGAAAAAAGAAATAACAATTTGTTGGGCCACGCTAGTTCTGCTAAGGAAAACATTTTAATTAATATTGCATAGAAATTAATTAATTACATATACATACCAAGAAAAAATGGAGTATGGGGTTGACCACCCAGTACAAGTGTTGGCATGTGAGGATTTTGAAGATTTTGATGATATATGTTGGCATAGGCAAAAGGCATGCGCATTATATTCCTAAAATTATTTGGGATTAGAAAATAAAAAATACATTTGTTTTTTCTTTTTTCTTTGCGCATGACTACTAATGGGACCCCACTTTAGTACATGCGGGAGCACAAGACGACGTAGATGACATAATGTCATGAGGACAGGTCAAAGCCCAAGGTGGTGGCGAAAAACCTTAGTCCCACTATATCTTTATTTTTTATCTTTTATTTTGGTTTACATTATTTTGAGTTTTGTTTACCAAAGCTTGGTACGTTTGCTGACAGATTAACGTAAGAATAGCTTGGTCTCCTGATCACCCCGTGTGCAGAAAAGATTAAATTGAATACTGATGGTAATGTCAAGACTCAATTCAAAGATGGTGCTCTTGGTGAGATTTCTAGAAATGATCAAGATAAGTAGATGTTCGGACACTCGGTCAATTAAATTTTACAAACGAATAAAAAAAATTGCCGAAAAAACCGACAGAGTCGGTCGGTATTTTTATTTATATAATTAAAAAATGCACGATATGGGAATCGAACCGGGTCTATACTGTAGCAGGATACCACTCTACCACTAGACTATTAGTGCATTTTGGTTTAAGACTTTCTTTTATTTTATTTTTACTCTTTAATTACATTTTCGCACGAAAATAACCGACCGATTTCAATCGTTTGTATTAGAAAAATAAAATTACCGATCGAAATCGGTTGGTTTTCTAATATTACCGACCGAAATAACCAACCGATTTCTGTCGATTTTTTGAGTATTAATTTTAACTTATTCTAAATGAAAAAACCGACCAAAGTTGGTCGCAGGGGCGGGTGCACGCTTACCAAAGTGGTGTCACGCGACACCGCTTCGTCGGAATTTTTTTCTAAATATATGTATTAATAATGTATGGAAACGGATAAGTAGGAAAATATGACACCACTTGACATAAATTGTGTTTTGGTGTGTTTGTTATGTGCTTGATTTTGCTCTAGGAGGTCAAAGATTCAAACCTCAACTAGCACATTTTTCTTTTGCAAATATTTGAGACAACCTTTGTGGTTAAAAATTGTGATGAAGTATGTCACACCTCCTTTTTACACACCTACCCCGAAGGATAATGTATAAGGTAGTTTTTCCATTTAAAGTGACATTATTCGAAATGAGATTATTTATTTATTCAGAGTCGCCACTTAGGATAGGTTTGGCTTTTGGTGTCCCAAGTCACCGGTTTAATTTGAATCCCAAATCGAGGAAAAATTTTCGACTTCCCAATTGGAGTCTGCGAACCAGAAATTCTGAATAAGGAATTCTGTTGACCCGAGGGAAGGTGTTAGGCACCCCCGGATCCCGTGGTTCTAGCACGGTCGCTTAAACTATTATAAATGGCTAAAATCTGATTTTTTTATACATGTTATCCTATAGTGTAATTTTTTAGAATTATTCACCGCTTTCAATTAAAATTTTTAAAGAAAAGTGAACGTCGTTTAAAAAACGTATTTTTGGATCACGTCGCATGAAATGCACCCGGATCCTCGACACATTTTTATTCAACATTTTGGGATTTGGATTTGGGTTGCATGAAATGCACACCCGTATTTAGGAAGGTAACATTATTAAAAAGCGCGCCTAAAGCGACTAACGCGTTATTAACTTTGCGGGAGGCCATGAAAATTCGCTAAACGGCACGTCCCGAATTCTAAGTATTTTAATATAAACATTTAAAGAGGGCCACGCAATTTATGAGTTTTATTTGGCATGGCGCGTGTGACGACCCAACCCGTCGTCTCATGTATTACAGCCCCGTTTCCCCCATTTATTGCTCTTTCATGTTTTATTATCAGCAACGGGTGAGTTAGAGTTGAATTGAATTGGTTTGGATAGGAAATGAGACACTTAGTCCCATTAAGGAAGGTTTGGGTTGAAAAAGTCAACTGAATGTTGACTTATTAGTTAGAAGGCTCGGATGTGAATTCCGGTGATTCGGTTAGCTTCGGGAGGTGATTTGTAACTTAGGAGTGCGATCGGAAGTGATTTTGGAAGTCCGGAGTAGAATTAGGCTTGAATTGGCAAAGTTGGCATTTTGGCGAATTCCGATGGATAGGTGAGATTTTGATCCGAGGGTCGGAATGGAGTTCCGAGAGTTGCAGGCGTTAGGTGATTTTAGATATGTGTGCAAAATTTCAGGTCATTCGGAGGTGTTTTGGTCGGGTTTTTGATCGAATGCGTAATTCGGAAGTTTTTAAGAAACTTAGGCTTGAATTCGATGTGATTTGATGGTTTTAGCGTTGTTGATGTGTTTTGAGGATGAGAACAAGTTTGAATGAGGTTTTAGGATGTATTGGTGTTTTGGTTGAGGTCCCGGGGGCCTCGAGGTGAATTCGGGTGGTTGAACGAGAGTTTTGAAGTTTGCTTCAGGTCTGTTGTTGCTGTCATCTGGTATTTCCGCTTCTGCGGAAATGGACTGCAGAAGCGGTTCCGCAGAAGCGGGTGAGCGATCGCAGAAGCGGCCAGGTGTGGGTTAGGGTAGTTCCGCATAAGCGGAAGTTGGTCGCTTCAGCGGGTCCGCATAAGCGGACATTGTACCGCAGAAGTGGTTTTGAGGGAACCGCAGAAGCGGAGTTCGAGTCGCATAAGCGAAGTCCGGGTTTTTAAGTGAAGACCGCATAAGCGGATTTTTGGCCGCAGAAGCGGTCCCGCACAAGCGAAAGCGGGACCGCATAAGCGAAAATCGCTGTTGGCAGAAAGGTTTAAAGGATTTATTTCATCCGCGAACAAGAGGTAGTTTCCACCATTTTTAAGCGGCTTGAGAGCTTTGGGCGAGGATTTTCGAGGGTTTTGACTGAGAATCAATTGGAGGTAAGTCTCTTGGCCTAATTATTCGAGTTTATGGTAGAAATTACATGTAAATTGTGGAAAATTCATCAAAAACGGGTCAAGCTAGGGCTTGGAAAGCTGTGATGTAAAAATGGATTTTGAAAGGGCATTTGAACTCCGATTTTGGTAAAATTGGTATGTGTAGACTCGTGGAGAGACGAGGAATCCAGATGTAAATTTCGTAATTTTTCGAGAAGTAGGCCCGGGGCTCGGGTTTTGCCAACTTAGTGAAATTTTGGTTGTTTTCGAGTCTTTTCGATTGGGTTATGTTTTCTTTTAGCCTATTGTAATGTATTCGTTGTGGTTTTTAATCAGATTCGGCGTGCGAAGAGGTTGATTCGAAAGGCAAAAGCATAGCGAACTAGACTTGTGGCCGGCTTGAGGTGAGTAATAGATGTAGATGATGACCTGAGGGTTTGAAACCCCGGTATATCACATTGTGACGCTATATTGAGGTGAGCACGTACTCTATGACGTAGTGCGGGGTCGATTGTGACTGGGGATTTGTGACCTAGTCCGTTCCGAATTATGTTCGTACTGCGTTCTTGACTAGAAATTGTTTGGTAATCATCCTACTTGGATTTTATGAATTATTTGGGGCTTGTGCCTATCATGTGCATCCTTCAGGGATCCTTATCACTGTTTCCATGATGCTAGGATATTCTCATGATATCAGTCCTGAGTTAGACACTGCCTCGAAATGACTAGTACATATATAAAGGTTTAAACATTTAGCTCTATATTTCCTAATAATTGAAACTAAAATGAATATTTGACTGTGCCCGAGTGGCTTGCATGCATATATAATATATATATATATATATATTATATATATAATAATATATATATATATATATATATATATAATATCTGGACTGAGTATGGATCGGGCTGCACGCCGCAGCG